CTGACGTATTTCAAGACATCAAGACAGCTCAAACATGCAATTTAATCTTGACTAGCCTTAAACCTTGTTTGTGAAACCGGGGGATAATTTTTTAATATTAACCTCCCCTAATGAGTCTATTCTTGGTTTAATTGTGGAGCTCGCCACTCAGAGTTCAAGCTCCGTCTTCAGTTGTGGTCTGTATTTATTTTTAATGTATTTGATTGCCATGACGGTCTCCGAAAGTTTTCGCACACTTTACTTTGATGGTCCGTTTGTTGAATATAAGTTACATTGCATCTTCATGCCAACTAATTCTCATTAGGTTATAAGTAGAGTGTTAGGTTAGAGTTAGTGTAAGTTGACATGTACTTGCAAAGTTTCTTTTAGTCAGTGAAATGTCTGTTTAGCAGCAGTATGAACAGATATTAAGCAGACAGTCTACTAATACTCAAATGGACCATCAAAATAAAGTGTTACCGAAAGTTTAACCTGGCGCCATGAAATTAATCTGCTGCAGCTGATGCTAGTGCTGTGTGGTTCATCTAATGCAGGGGTCAGTAACCCGCGGCTCTAGAGCCGCATGCGGCTCTTTAACGCTGCTCTTGTGGCTCCCTGGAGCTTTTTCAAAAATGTTTGAAAATGCAAAAAGATGGGGGAGGTTAATATATTTTTTTGTTTTAATATGATTTCTGTAGGAGGACAAACATTTTTAACGTTTTCAAATGCTGTCAAAGTGTGTAGAATTAATATTTAATTTCAACATTTCTGTCAACGAAGATTTGCGTCATAGCCTGCGACACACGTTTCTATCAGCAGGGTGGGATGCCGGGCAGGTGGCTGTTGTAAACAAACCAGGAGATTGTAAAGCATGGAAAACCGTTCAAAGATGGTATGACATATTAGAACACCTATTTGCAAACTTTAAAAACAAAACCAAGATAATACAAAAAAATAAAGATATACCTTTCTCCACCAAGACAGTGAAGGAAAGGGCTATTAAAATGGTAGGTAACATCACCGATCAGCAAACCAAGGACATTAATTCAGTCCCAGCATACTCAATTGCCTGTGATGTGACCGATATTCAACGCGCTTTTATGCAGGTTTGTGAACTCTGATGGGCCGCAAGAAGAAATGATCAAATTAATAACACTAAAAGACCAGAGGCTGTGCTGAAGTGTTTAAATGACAACAAAATAAACACCAACCACCTGATTTCAGTGGCTATTTAATCATGAAGGCTCATTATGTATTTGTAGCCAATTTAGTCATTTTGATAGTAGGCTAATATAGCTAATATAGATACATACAGCATGTGTTTCCTTCATTATAAGGCTTATATAAGGCTTTACATTTTTTGTGGCTCCAGACATATTTGTTTTTTGTTATTTTTGGTCCAATATGGCTCTTTCAACATTTTGGGTTGCCGACCCCTGATCTAATGTAAACACAGGGGTCGCAATCCAATGGAAAAAAAAAATTGAAAAGCTGATAGCTTTTTATTTGCATTTTATTGTTTTTTTTATGTAACTAATAACTAATATTTTTATCTTCTGTGGTTTATTAACAAATACAATAATTCTGATAGTTTAATAAGATTAATTTATGGAAACACCAAGCGACCCCTGTCATTGTCCTGCGACACCCACTTCAGAAACCACTGATCTACAGAACAAACCACTGTTATACATTGACTTGCCAGTGGTTCCCACAGTGGGGGTCGGGACTCCCCGGAAGGTTGCAGGACAGTAAGAGAGAGAGAGAGAGAGGGGGGGGGTTAATTAAACCTAATTAATTTTTGTTAAACTATTAGAATGATCATATTTTATCCATAACCTACTGAAGAACAAAATAGTAGTTAATACACTCTAGAAAATGTTGGGTTATTAATTCAACCCATATGGGTGTAATACAGACTAAACCAACTGCAAAGTACAATTTTTAAATTAAATTAAGAGGACCGAATTTAACCCTATGGGTTAGTCCATATTTTACCCAATGTGCGTTTAAATAACCCAGCATTTCCTAGAGTGCAGTAACACTGTTAACATGTTAATAATAAACAAAAAACAACATTCAATTAAAAAGCCATCAGACTTTCACTTTGCTGCGACTCCTGATGTGATCATGTTATATTAAAGACACAGCAACAGCGTCAGATGCAGCTCATTGATTTGAAGGCACCAGGTTAAACTTTGACACCTTTACGGCACTCACATACATTAAAAATAAATACAGGACACAACTGAAGATGGAGGTTGTTCTCCTAGGGGTGTTCTCCAAAATCAAACGATGAATAGACTTGGGCCTCTTGGTGTGTGTGAGCCGTTGTGTGCAAGATTTATATATTTATTACCACCTCAGAGAATATTGAGGGTCAAGTTATTGCAAGGCACTGTTATTTTGGGGGTCATGGGCTGAAACGTTTGGGGAACTCCTGCCCTAATTACCCTAGTTAAGCCTTTAAATGTCACTTTAGCTGAATATCAGTATCTTGAAGAATATCTAGACAAATATTATGTGCTGTCATCATGGCAAAGATAAAATAAATCAGTTATTAGAGATGAGTTATTAAAACTATTATGATTAGAAATGTGTTGAAAAAACAGAAATTGAGGAAAAATTAAACAGAAGGGCTAATAATTCTGACTTCAACTGAATATTTGAGACACAATCTTGTTTTGTTTTGCCACTGAACATTTTAAAGCCACAGCAAACACGGTTTGCTTTGAGATAATTCACCACAAGTGTATTTTAAAATTGGTTAAAGTCAACTTTTAGATGTTTATTATTAAACATGATTCAAAAGGAATCACATACTTCCAATTTCTCTTTGCATTTAGCATTTTCCTTTTCATCTGCTTTGGATAAAAGTGTCTGCTAAATGTTTATTCATTGATCCTCAGGCAATGTTGTTTGTGTGTGTGTGTGTGTGTGTGTGTTTGCACAGAAAGAAAAGAAAGCGCTTTGGTTTTGTACAAGGTGAATATGTTTATCCGACCGTCTCACATGGCATTGAACTACACATGATCTTCAGACTCAGTCTTTACAGTTAGGCTCTTCGCATGCACTAGAAGAGGCCGACAGAGAAATGACTCCACAGTACAGCTTCAGCACATCCACAGTCTGCACAGTGACACACACACACGCAAACACACACACACCGACGGCACACACACACACAGACACACACACAGAAAATACAAGATCTAAGTCCAAAAATAGATAGCTTTACATTTTCTCATTTATATTGGAAACGGTGCCCTGACTTCTGAAAGCAGCAGAAAATATTAACATCAACATACTTAAGTTCTGTGGGTGCTGGGAAAACACACACACACACGATCTCTCACACACACACCTCAACACAACTCCTATGGCACGTCCATCACAAACACAACTGGGTCACTTTTAACCCAGAATTAAAAGAAATAAATATATAGTTTTAATTATATTAAAATAAAAGTCATACTTTCTTTATACAATGCAAAACTATGCTTAATTATATGACCCGAAAAGTTGAATAGTTTGAGGAAAACTTACACTGTAAAACCCACAAAGTTAAGACAACTCAAACCATTTAAGGAAACCGATTGCAACAAACCATTTAAGTTCAAAAACTGATCCTAATGAGTACTGTGAACTTAATTCATTTAAGTTGAAGTAATGAGGTATTTAATTAAGTCAACACTGAGTTCAAAACTCTTTTCAAACGAGTAAATGAAGCAATTTTAACACAGTAAAACCAAGTAAGCTAACTGAGTACTGTAAAACCTGATAAGTTAAGACTACTCAAACTGTGAGGAAACCAATTGCTACAAACCATGAGTTAAATAAAACTAATCTATATGAGTACTGTGAACTTACTCCATTTAAGTAATGAGGTATTTAATTAACTCATTACATCCAACACTGAGTTCAAAACTCTTTTCAAATGAGTAGAATTAACTTTCAGTCAATTTTGAGTTCACTGTACTTTTACAGTGAAGATATCCACTATAATCGTGGACTACTGTAGATTTGTTAAGGTTTTTTTATTATTATATGATAATTTCTGTTATTTTAATGTTAACCAATCCATTTTTAGTTATATTAAAATTAAAGTCAAATTTTCTATTTATAAAATTATGACTATTTTTGTGACCCATATATATATAGACACACACACACACACACTACCTGATAAAAGTCTTGTCGCCTATGCAAGTTTTAGAAACAACAAATAATAACAGGACTTCTAGTTGATCATTTGGTATCAGAAGTGGCTTATATGAAAGGCAAAGCCCTCTAGATTTAGCTGATTTTACCACCATAAAATATGATCATGCCTGATATTTAATTATTTAATTAGGACAGTAAGGTCTGACTTTGCTTGGACAACAGTCTCATCACTGAACAGAAATAAAGTCCAGTATAGCATATAAAGTCATGCTGCAGTGGAGGCAGAATGAATATTGTGGCTGACTCCAACATGAGCTTGGAGGACTGCATCTATACATCTCTGACATGACTCAAGTCACTGATTAATAAAGCCATCTGGAATGGCAAAGAAAGCGTTCTTGCAGGACTCCCAGAGTTCATTAAGATCCTTTGGATTCATCTTCAATGCCTCCTCCTTTATCTTACCCCACACATGCTCAATAATGTTAATATCTAGTGACTGGGCTGGCCAATCCTGGAGCACCTTCACCTTCTTTGCTTTCTGGAGTTTTGATGTGGAGGCTGAAGTATGAGGAGCGCTATCCTGCTGAAGAGTTTGCCCTCTCCTGTGGCTTGTAATGTGATGGGCAGCACAAGTGTCTTGATCCCTCAGGCTGTTAATTTTGCCATCCACTGTGCAGATCTCTCGCACACCCTCATACTGAATTGGGATGCAGTTCAACAGATGATTTAATCTACCTTCTGAAAACTTTTCCAAATGATCAACTAGAAGTTATTTTTGTTGCTCTTACAACAGGGATCCACAAGAAGACTTTTATCAGAGAGCGTATACAATAAGTCACATTTTCTGAACTGTCCTAAGATAAGAGTGTGTTGTTTGATCGTTTTAGGACAAACAATTTTAAGGTTTGGATCAACTTCAATTGAGGACTACTGATCATATTTTTGAATGATTAGCTTACTGTATTTTAGTGATAATTTCTGATGAGCTACTGCTAAACAAAAATGACTAAAACGTAAACATTTAAATAAGAAGTAACAATGAAAACGAAAATTATAGCATTTTTAAACACAGTAATACTAATGTTGTATCGCATTTGTAATATTGCACACACACAGACACCCCCACACACACACACTGATGTGACAGGTCTAATCTCTGTCTGGCTGAAGGAGCAGAGGGTTTGTTGAAGCGGGCCACGGTGTCTGTCAGACTCAGATCACAGTGTGAATCGGTGCAGCTTTGTTTCACATCATTATTGCACATCACATCTGATTGTTGCACTGGACACTTTCACTACCAAACAGCGACCAAGAAAGAGGAATTTCCACACACACACACACACACACCCAAATGTATATATGGTTTATGAGAACTCGAGTAATGTAATTTATAGTGTAAAAATCACTTACTATATGGCTTTACCCTACCCCTACAAATCTGAATGTCAAAAGACAAGTATGATTTTTAAAAGTATTTTAAGGATTACAAGGACACAAATCATGTCCTCATAAAACACCTTATTAACAGAGCACAACTAGGTCATACCAATGCCATTATACAATTTCAATGTCCTCATAAGCCACATAAACCTACACACATTGTATATATGGTTTACGAGGACTCTTTATAGGTGCAATGTAATTTATAGTGGAAAAATCACTTATTACATGGCTGTACTCGACCCCTGCAAATTTAAATGTCAAAGAACAAGTATGATTTTTAATCATTTTTAAGCATTACAAGGACACAAAGCATGTCCTCATAAAATATCTTAATAACAGAGCACAACTAGGTCATACTAACGTTATTATACAATTTCAAAGTCCTCATAAACCAAATAAACCTGCACACACATACACACATACTGCATATATGGTTTATGAGAACTTTCTATAGGTGTAATGCAACTTATAGTGTAAAAACAGCTCATCACATGGTTTTACCATACCCCTACAAAATCGAAAAGACAAGTATGATTTAAGCATTGCAAGGACACAAAGCATGTCCTCATAAACCACCTTAATAACAGAGCACAACTAGGACACACCGATGTAATTATACCATTTCAGTGTCCTCATTAATCACATAAACCTGCACACACACTTGGAAATATGGTTTATGAGAACTCTTCATAGGCGTACTGTAATTTATAGTGTAAAAATCACTTATTATATGGCTCTGCCCCATCCCTACAAATTTAGATCTGGAAACACACGTATTATTTTAAGCATTACAAGGACACAAATCATGTCCTCGTAAGCCACCTTATTAACAGAGCACAACTAGGACATAGCAGTGCCATTATACAATTTCAACGTCTTCATAAACCACATAAACCTGTACATACACTTGTATATATGGTTTATGAGGACTCTCCATAGGTGTAATTAATTTATGGTGTACAAATTGTTTATTATACGGTTTTACCCTACCTTAACGAATTTGAATGCCAAAAGACAAGTATGATTTTAAGCATTACAAGGACACAAAGCATGTCCTAATAAAATACCTTAATAACAAAGTGCAACTAGGTCATATCAATGCCATTATACAATTTCAATGTCCACATAAACCACATAAACCTGCACACACTCGTATTTATGGTTTATGAGGACTTTCCATTACGTTATTTATAGTGTAGAAATCACTTATTAGACAAGTACTGTATGACTTAAGAATTGCTTATGCATTCTGAGGACACAAAGCACATCCTCATAAACCCCCTTAATAACAGCACAACTGGTCATATCTATGTCATTATGCAATTTAATGTCCTCATAAACCACATAAACCTGCAGACACACATACACACAGAGACAGCAAGGACTCCACCAGAGATACTAGAGCAACTAAAAGCATAAATGACAGCAGGTCACATTTATTCATCAGATCATGTTATAGTCTCTCTCGCTCTATGGTGTAGTTCAGAAAAGTCGATACACTAATACTCGAGTTCAACACTTGTGCCTCTACACATCGTAATACACTTATTGCACTGACAGAGGCCTGGAAAAGGGTGCTGGATTTGCTACCTGACACAGAGGGAAGCCACGCGTGAATGTGTGTCCTTTTATACAGATGCCACATTTAAAATGGAGAGCCCGCCGGATTGAAGCACGTTTCACTAGATCCACGTCAGGATTTTTACATTTGTTTCTTTCGACTTTCACACAGGAAAATCCAGTCCGTTGGATGAAGATGTCCATCTATGAGAACCGTCCAATCACAGGCTTATTCTATTCCAGACCGTCCAATCCAGTTCGTCAAATCCATCAGAGTCTCTGCTGGCTCCGCCCTCCCCGTCTCTGGCTGATATAAACTGAACATCGGCCAGGGGAGAAACAGTGGCTGCAAACGCAACAACAGCAGCACTGCGTCACAAAAACTGCTCTGTTTTTAATTGTTCAAACAAACACACTTTGTTTTAGACAAACATATTGCATTTATAACAGGTGAATCTCACAAAGAGTGTCATTAATATAAATATGGGACAAATTACAGTCTCATACAGAAATGTGATCATGGAGGACACTCAAACCATGGGTAAATTTAAAGATCTAATCAAAATATTCATTTTAATTTTACACCGAAAATCACTTGAATATTCAGTCAATATGTTTCATGAAGATATTTTGTAAATTTCCTACCATAAATATGTAAAAATGTAGTAATATGCATTGCTAAGAATGTAATTTCTTCAAATTTAAAGGGCGATTTTGTGAATATTTTGATTTATTTTAGATTTGTGATTTGTTGTTGTTGTATCAGGACTTAATATTGTGCAATCATAACAAACTAAATATTAATGTAAATCTCATTTATTTATCATCAGCTTTAGTTGATGTATAAACATTAATAAAAAAAATATGACCAGTGTGGGGGAAATGCGTTACTTATTAACTTGTTATGGTAAGCAATGCGTTACGTTACTTTTGAGTTACTTTTGCATTACTTTTTATTACCACTGAGGCTTACTTTATAAAAGCTACTTTTTAAAAGCTAATTCTTTTAAAAAGACTAAAAATATATTTTTTTAAAAAACTCAAATATTATTACACAACATAACTTGCATTACTTGTAATGTGTTACCCCCAACACTGCTTACGACGAGGGCATAAATAGTAAAAATATAATTTGCATGAATTAACCCAATTATGCTTTAAAAAGCAGTCAATCAGAATGTCGGGCTTGGGCAAAATTCTGTCAGGCTTAACTATTAAGGCCTGATTACAGCTTTATTAGGTAGGATTAGAAATGTAGAATAAGATTGTACTTTATAAGTACAAAATAAAATAAAATAAAATGAACCTAAATTAAATTAAATTAAATTAAATTAAATTAAATTAAATCAAATTAAATTAAATTAAATTAAATTAAATTAAATTAAATTAAAGGAACAAAATTAAAATCAAAACTGAATAAAATAATAAAAAAATCACCAATAAAAAATAAAATAAGATAAAATTTAATTAAATAAAATTAAATAAAAATAAATATAGTAAAAAAATAAAAATAAAATAAAAAAAATAAAATTGAATAAAATGAAATAAAATAAAAGTTAAATAAAAATGTAAAAATTGATTTAAAATAGAATAAAATAAATAAATAAAAATAAAATAGAATAAAATAATTTAATAAAATAAATTGAAAAAAAGGCAATCTGTTATAATAATTGGCAGGTTTTAACAATAATAATAATAATAATAATAATAATAATAATAATAATAATAGTGAGAATTGGTACCTAAACTATAATGTAACCAAAAAGAACAACATATATTAGAAATGACAATTTGTTCATATTTTGGGATGTAAAGTGACCTGTACGCATCTTTGTGAGATCCACCTTAACATGATAATACACCTGTGGGTACAGTAGATCTGCTCTTGCGTATTTAAATGAGTGATGTAGTGATGTGGAGCAGGCGAGGGCAGTGATGACAGTGTTCAGGGTGTGACAGCAAATCTCCCTCCACCAGTTGCTTAGCAACCGTCCCTTTCAGATTCACTCACATGATGCTCAGATCTCCACATGACATCTTCATTCAAACTAGTTCATCACATACAAACAGACGACAAACACATGATGCTCACAACTCTTCATCACATACTGTACACACAACAGACAAACAAGTCACATACAGTAGACAGATAACATGATGCTCAGATTCTCCACATTTAAACCAGTACACATACAATACACAGATATGACAAAGAGATGATAGTCAGATCTCCAGTTGATCCCATATGAGCGGTTTACACCTGGTCACTCCATGTGCTTTCTCTGATCTGACAGTGACTTAATTGTGACATCCATCTTAGTGGAGACACATTTATGTGGTCAAATGTAAATGGAAACATCTTCACAAAGCTATCCGATCAGAGAAACACATGAAGTGAGCTGATGTGAACAGGCCCGTACAGTACATCTATAACACAGAGGATGCAGATAAATGACTCGGGTGATGTGAGCGCTTTGAGCGATGAAATATTTCAGAAAATTAATTGTGATTATGAATGTTGGAGCAAACATGAAGAAAAATATGTGCTTCACTGATGCATTTAAAGTTGAGTTTGAAGTGCAGCCGTTTATTTACTAAACACACACTCCTGTGCACAATTCATAAGTGCATGTTGTAGAGAACAATATTAGCTCCGCCTCTAAAATAAATCATTCAGTCCCTAATTATTCAGTGGTTATCTCACTTGGTTTAGGTAAAACTCACGATCTGATCAACTACACTTTATGTACTCATTTTTCTTTGGTTTTGTGAAAATAATGACTAAAACCCTAAGTAAATGAAGCAGGTTGAGTCTTTGCAGTACATTTGGTTATTTATAAGCGGGCATGGTCTCATCGCTTGGCTAAATAGGGTGGAAGGAGTCTCTGATAGCGAGTTGGTGGGCGTGGCCTAAGCTGTTGATCAAAAATGATGGGTGGAGTCTATGCAGTAGATCTGAGTAAGTAGAAGGAGTGTGGCCTCAGCTGATGGAAGACCTTGAAATCAAACCATTTATGGTGTTTTTAATGTTAAATAAATCTTTGTCATTTAAAACTATTATATGCATTATATCTAATTAATGAATTTACTTGAGGTGAGGGGAAACCGAAATGACTTAATTTAATTTTTTTGATTATTAAAAATATTAAATAATAAATAAAATTAAATAAATACATTTAAAAAAATAATGAATAAAATAAAATAAATAAAAACTACAACAGAAGTTCAAATAAAAAAATAAATCAAAATATGTTATTAAAAGCATTCTATTTTGGAGAACATTAATAGAATGTTCCACTTTAGAATGTTCTCTTATTCTTTTGAAAATATGCAAATATTATAAGAATGTTCTTTTTAAATGTGCTCGGAAATAATTAATAACATAATAACATAACATAACAAACAAACAAACAAACAAACAAAAAATGCCCAGCTTAAGTGTATTAGAAAAACCTTTCATAATGTTTGTGCCAAAGTTTTCAAAGCATTGTTAAAGAAAATAATAAATATATAAATAAACAATAAATAAATTACATTAAAAACTAGGACAAAACAATTAAAAAACAAATTCAAACTATTTATAAAAACTACAACAGCTGCTGGATGATACTAAAATAACACATTCAAAGTTGGATACATATATTCATTTAAATGAAATATTATGATTTTGTTAGATTATCTCTCACATAGCAACTCTCACTGAAGCTGAGCAGGGCTGAGCCTGGTCAATACCTGGATGGGAAACCACATGGGAAAGCTAGGTTGCTTTTTGGAAGTGGTGTTAGTAAGGCCAGTAAGGGGTCTGTGTGGGTCCTAATGACCCAGTATATTGATGGGGACTCTATACTCGTCAGTGAGCGCTGTCTTTTGGATGAGACGATTAACAGAGGTCTTGACTTTCTGTGGTCATTAAATCCAGATTTAACCCCGGCATCCTGGCCAGATTTGCCCACTTGCCTCTGCCCATCATGGCCTCCTAACCATCCCCATATCATAATTGACTTTATCACTCAGTCTCCTCTCCACCAATCAGCTAGTGTGTGGTCTGGTGCACCAGGTGGATGCTGCGTGCACACTGGGAGTGGATGTGGAGATTCCCCCTAAAAAATGTGTAAAGGTGTCCAGAAAAGCGCTATATAAATGTGAGGAATTATTATTAAATTATAATTATATTTTATTATTATAACTATTATTATAAACTTTCTGAAACTATTTACTTATATTATAAAAAGCAACAATATAAAAGCATTATTACTAATTAAATTAATATAAACTAATCTAAAAACTACAACAGCTGCTTGAAGATACTAAAATATCAATATCAATATTAGCAGTTGGATAAATAAACCATTTCAGAGACAGAGCTAATATGTTTTGATTAAAACCTGCACTTATGAACCTTCAAACAAGCAGGAATGTGTTTTGATGTGACTTATTAATTGGGATTTAATACAGAGTTTTTGTATAGCGATCTAAAGGACACTAAGAGTCATTCTCTCTCTCTCTTCATCATTCTCATCCTCATGTTCACACATAGGGAGAGAGTCTGTTACCTTTGAGTCTCGTCTGCTTCCCCATTTAAGACAGAACGCTCCCCTCGGCCCGGCTGAAGCGCGCAAACACCACCTCTGAGCAGTGATCTGTGTGTACAGCAGCGGTGTGAGGCCCACGGGAAAACACACACATACACACTCACAGGAGCGGGAGGCTGAGACACGGCAGCATGTACGGGCAAAGTCAAAATGACCAGCCCTCCTGTCTTTTATTTAGCAGATGTTAACAAGGTTGATTCAGGAATTTCTCACAGTATTTCCTATAATATTTTTCCTTCTGGAGAAAGTTTTATTTGTTTTATTTCGGCTAGAATAAAAGCAGTTTTTCATTTTAAGATCAATAATATTAGCTCCCTTAAGCAATATTAGTTTAGGATTGTCTGCAGAACAAACCACTGTTATACAATGACTTGCCTAATTACCCTAACGTTACCCTAATTAAGTCTTTAAATGTCACGTTAAGCTGAATACTAGTCTTTTATAGAATATCTAGTCATATATTATGTGCTATCATCATGGCAAAGATAAAAGAAATCTCTCTGTTAAACAGTAACCGGGGAAGACAATAATAAGAATGGCTAACAAATTCAGGAGGGCTAATAATTCTGACTTTAACTGTACACAGACAAGCACGCAGCTTACACACACACATACACACACCTGAGCGCGAGCTTTTACAGGTAAATCTTATTCTGCGCTTGTGCTTAAAAGCTTAAAGCGTGTTTATAAGTGAGCTGAACTCTCCCTGAATCAATATTTTCAGGCTGGTAAATCGCATTAATTCAGCGAATCTCACAAAAACATGTTCAGCTTCATGCCATCGTCAAAAGACAGAAAGATTTGCTATTTTGCAATAGATTATGATTTTGTGAGATTCTCTCGAATACTCTTTATAAACTTTCTGTAAGCACACTATTTACATAACACTCACAGAAAGAGAGGATCACATACTGCCTTGGCCAGAAATGGAGGAGTCTTTATAGTTTATTTGATCGTGTGAGTGGGCGTGGCTTGAGAAGATGGACAAATAGTGTTGTCAGAGGCGTGGCCTTAGCAGTTTGGTGGGTGGAGCCTTTGCAGTTGCTTTGGACTAGTATTAGTGGGTGTGGCTTCAGCAGTTCAGCATATATGGTGGGCGGAGACTTCACAGTATATTTGGTCAAGTATTAGTGGGTGTGGATTCAGTAGTTCAGCATATATGGTGGGCGGAGACTTCACAGTACATTTGGTCAAGTATTAGTGGGTGTGGCTTAAGCAGTTCAGCATATAGGGTGGGCGGAGACTTCACAGTATATTTGGTCAAGTATTAGTGGGTGTGGCTTAAGCAGTTCAGCATATATGGTGGGCAGAGACTTCACAGTACATTTGGTCAAGTATTAGTGGGTGTGGCTTCTGCAGATCAGCATATATTGTGGGAGTCTGCAATACATTTGCTTAAGTATTAGTGGGTGTGGCTTAAGCATGTATTGTGGGCGGAGACTTAGCAGTACATTTGTTCAAGTATTAGTGGGTGTGGCTTCAGCAAATCAGCATATATCGTGGGAGACTTTGCAATACATTTGCTTAAGTATTAGTGGGTGTGGCTTCAGCATGTATTGTGGGGGGAGACTTAGCAGTACATTTGGTCAAGTATAAGTGGGTGTGGCTTTACCAGTTAAGCATATATCATGAGAGGAGCCTTTGCATAACCTTTGGTCAAGAATTAGTGGGTTTGGTCTTTAGCATATAAGGTGGGCGGAGTCTTTGTAATACATTTGGTAAACTATTAATGGGAGTTCAGCATATTTGGTGGGCGGAGTCTTTGTGTTTGTGGGCTTGTCCTCAGCTGACAGACAGGAATGGTGTGCGGTTGCGGCGAATGGGACAGGGCGAGGTCACTGGAGAGAGATGGAGAGCGCTGTACACGTTGTTTAAACTCCGAGACTTCTCCGAGCCTTCAGACGTGAGAGAATGCAACAGTAAAAAGCACAAAGACACACTGAACACGTGTGTGTGTGTGACGGGACATACGCACACACATTACAGAACACAGCACATTGACTGCGTCCAGCGATCACAATGAAATGGCTACTGTGTTTTCCCTCTGATCGCTGGACATGTTGCGTGTATAATCAAGAGCTCAGTTACTGCTCATATAGTCAGTAGATAAAAAGGTTTGTATAATCTTTTAAACAAATCACTATGACGTCTAAATATGATGAAAGTGGAGAAAATTCAACAAAAATATTTTTAGCGAAAGCCAGTCTGGATGGAAATGTCAACTAAAACTGTACATAAACCTCAAATATCTTTCTCTTTATCCTAAATATCCACTGTATGTCTCTCATGCATATGACTAATGAGTTTGACAACTGTTCTGTCTATAGAATCATATATAGTAACAGTCCAGACCAGATGTGTAACTCTAGAATGTTGTTTACACTTTATGGCATGATAATCAATGCTAGTAAATGATACTGATATATGCATACAGTATCATGTATATCAGAAAGCACTACACAGTAAAAAAAAAAGCAACAATGGATTATACAAATACAGCACAAACATCAATTTATATATATATATATATATATATATATATATATATATATATATAAACGCACACACACACACACACAAGCAAATTTGCCATAAAAATAATAAGATAATCATTATGTAAAAATAAAATAAAAATCATAAGCAAACTGGTATATCATACTAATAAAATAATACTAATATGTATAGGATGAACAAATGCAACAGCACAGCACAAAATTATATATACACACTGGCCCTAACTCTTCAGCAGGCTTTTAGCACCATGCACGCACGCACGCACGCACGCATGCACACACACACGCACACACACCAGCAGCTGCATCTGATCTTAACCAGGTAGGGTTATTAGCCAAGCATTTGTGTATGTCAAACAGGACTTTGAGCACCAACTCAACATCAGCATGGTTATGAGCTCACACTTTAAGTGCGCATGCAGCATGCAAACACAATGCAAACAATAAATGCAGACAAGGAAAAAAAGAGGTGTTGATAAGAAAGCTCAAAAATGAACTGCCAAGCTTTTAAAAAAATATATCTTTATGGGATGCGGTGTGAACGTTCCCCTTGAGTTATGAACATCTTCTGAGTGTTAAAACTTCCAACTTATTAAATGAAATTAATTTTATATTTTATTTAAACATTTTTTTCTTCAGAATTTAATTTATTTATTTTTTTGCAAGTAATTTAAGAATGAAAATTACGAATGCTTTCTGTTTAAAAACTAAATATATAAATAGTTTTAAAAAACTAAAACATTTTTCAGGTATATTAAACTAACATGCTGCAATAAACATTGTGTAATGTTTTTCCATGGTTATGTGAGTATTATGCTGCATTCACACCAGACGCGGCATGCATGGTCGAATCTATTCACGCGCAGAAAGACAATTTGGGTTTTTCTTGCTTTTTTCGTGCATCAAATTTACTTCCCAACAGACACAGATTTGCTTCATGGGCGGGGCTTCGGTCTGCCCTGTGACTCTAGCTTTGTTTCTAAATGGCTAACATGGATTTTATTGAGAGAATATCTGTATTTATGTGCTTTAGGAAGGCTGAAAAACAGTTAGATTTGTTTGGCACCGTGTCTGAGTCCACTAGATCCTTTCAGAGGTGCACCCAGCTCTGTGAGTTCAACTCCTCCAGAAACTGTCCCTGGATGATGGAGGTTTTCAGCGGTGCTTTAGACTGAGCCGAGCCCACTTTCCTGAGCTGATTTTTAGTGTCGACAAGATGATTTCCTCTTGGGACACCAAAAACAGGCGCTACGTTATAATCACGCCTTTACAAGAGCAAGCTTATGATTGGTTAATGTGGCAGGAAAGTCTGCCAAAGTTCAGATTTCCCAACTCAAGAGATTCAAATGTGCAGAATGCTTCATTTAAGCGAATCGCATCATTCGCATCTCATCATTCGTGCCGCAGGATGTCTATTCACACCTTCGCATTGACTTAGCATGTAAATCACTCGCGCTTGACGTTTCATCTGCGTCTGGTGTGAACGCAGCATTAGAGAGCGTTTTAAAATTTCACTAATGTTGCTTCACATTAAAGGGCACCCATTATGCCCGCTTTACAAGATGTAAAATAAGTCTCTTATGTTGCTAGAGTGTGTGTGAAGTTTCAGCTCAAAAACGCACACAAATAATGTTTAATAACTCTTTAAAACTGACCCTTTCAGGCTTTGATTTAAATTGTGCTGTTTTGAAGACTGTCGCTTTAAATGCAAATGAGATACAAAGTTCAAAAGAGGGCGGAGCTACAAATGCCTTCAGCATAGCAGCATATTTAAAATGCCTGCTTCTCACTCAGGGCTAATGAGGGAGAGATGGTCACTAGTGGGCGGGGCTTAGCCCACACATACAACGGGAGAATGTCAATCAAAGTGTGTCTGCAGACTGTTTTTATCAAGTGTGATTATTAAAAATACAATGAGTTTTCTAATTATTAGCATTATAAATGTTTCAGTAATGTTTGTGCCAAAGTTTTGAGGCGTTATTAAAGACCTAGAATGGATCTTCTAATACAGGAAGAGTGTTTGTTCATAACTTTGAGAGAACTTTTCTAGAACGTTCCTTGTTAGAAAACTGACCAGCAATGATTACTGCTATAAACTGTGCACTTATAATATAATCCTCTACTGTACAGTCTGAGTGCCTCATTTCCATCCGTGAAACAGTTATGTCAGTGGATGAATGGACTGACTGTATGATGAATGAGATGGCTTTAGGAAATGTGATGGGTGTGCCTATGCAAATGAGGCAGAATGGAGGGATGTGACTGGTCACCTGTTTTCCGTATGGCTGCGTCTGCGGTGCAGGTGTAGTCGCTGGGGGCTAGCAGGAAACACGTGCCCTCTGTGTGATGGTCCTGTTCACGGACGCTGGAGTGACGCATGGGCATGCGCTCCTCTGGAGACATGCTGATGTCACTTCCTGCGCTGCAGTCAGCCGACAGCACTGGAGGCAAGCGGAGAAAAACAACATCTGCTTATGTGGTCAAACATCATTTTTAAAAGTTCAATATTTGTTTTCCCCCCTTTTTTAATTTATATTTTTTGTCTGAAGAAAAAAACTCTGCTGTCCAAAGATTAAACTAACTTGCCTAGTTAACCTAGTTAAACTGCACTTTAAGCTGAATACTATTATCTTGCAAAATGACGAGTAAGATGTTATGTTTTAGGAAGGATAGTGGTTGTGATTAATTTTCGTTAATGATTTATCAGGAGTCACAACAGAGGAATGAACTGTCAACTATTCCAGTATATGTTTTATGTTGTGCCTAAGCTCAAACTCCCCTCTCGCTTTGCAAACGGGAGGAAGCCCCGTTTATACATGGACCTCATCAGCCAGGGAGAGATAAAAGCCAGCCCCACACAGGAGGAAGACGAGCTTCATTTTCACATGACTCTCTGCGCTAACGCTTGTGTCTCTCTGTCTCTCCCACAGCCAACTCCAGCTCGTGAATGATCCAGCACCAGAACTCTCACCATCCTTCACCACCTCCCCGGAGCACTCGAGCACGCACCTCAAGAAGAGCACCACTTAAATGACGTATATCACTTGTAAATAAAGCACCCTCCGGGGACTTGTTTGTAACTCTACTCAACTGTGTTTGTGTTTTCCCTCTGCCTCGCTACAATATATATATATATATATATATATATATATATATATATATATATATATATATATATACATACATATATATATATACACATATATATATATATATACATATATATATATATATATAGTTAAAAAATTATAATTACTATTTTGTCAAGTGAACATAAGTACTGTAGGAAAACATCAGCATTCGGTACATGCTTTCAGTATTATCTTTGCTTGAGCTGACCCAATCTAATCCTGTTTATACGAATGAGCCTGCTCCTGACCAGGTTTGAGCTACCAGAACTGTTCCCATGACAACAACTCTTAGAAGAGTTTTGAAGAACTAAACAATCCTGGATCATGTCAAATCATCAATATCCAAATCCAGCTAACTGAGTAATAAACCTACGAAGAACAGACCCCAGCAGTGTTTCAAAATCAAAACAACCTCTTTGGCGTTTTCAAAAGGCTCTGTGTTCAGGGCTCTTCTGTCGTAGTGTGGACGGAAGGTGTAACCGTAGCAAAACTTATGCGTTTTAAAACTAAAATGTATTAGTGTAAATGGGGGCCTCATTCACACACACACACACACACACACACACACACACACACACACACACACACACACATGCACAAACACACACACAAATCAACTATAGACCATGTGTTTGGACTGTGGTGGAGCACCCAGAGAAAACCCACGCCAACACGGGGAGAACATGCAAACTCCACACAGAAATGCCAACTGACCCAGCTGGGACTCGAACCAGCGACCTTCATGCTGTGAGGCCACAGTGCTAACCACTGAGCTATGCTGTGAGTGAACTATGATGTTTAAAACTGTCTTGAAAGTAAAATTTTGCGATATTAATAAATATTTCACAACATTTTTGCCCTCAGCTGCATGTAGATGCACAAGCGTCTCACCTGAGCGATGTCTCTCCAGTCCTCGGCTCTGTCCGATACACAGCTCCCCCTGTGTGCTGTTGCAGGCTGTGCTCAGATCAGTTCTGCAGTACAGCGGCGAGCCCGTCTGCACCGCCTGCGGGATGTGCTTCTTCCTCTTCTTCGGGAGCTTCTGTTTAGCCATGGCCAGCGAATAATACATGCCGAAGTTATTAACGATAACCGGCACCGGCATCGCTATCGTGAGCACGCCAGCGAGGGCACACAACGCTCCCACAACCATCCCAGACCACGTTTGAGGGTACATATCACCATAACCCAATGTTGTCATTGTAACAACAGCCCACCAAAAGCCAATAGGGATATTTTTAAACATAGTGTGATGACTTGCTGTTGGGTCATTGGGACTGGCGCCGATCCGCTCGGCGTAGTAGATCATGGTAGCGAATATTAAGACGCCCAGCGCTAGGAAGATAATGAGGAGGAGGAATTCGTTAGTGCTTGCACGGAGAGTGTGTCCCAATACGCGGAGCCCTACAAAGTGACGAGTCAACTTGAAGATCCGCAGGATGCGAACGAAACGCACCACTCGCAGAAAACCCAGCACGTCTTTAGCAGCTTTGGAGGAAAGTCCACTCAGTCCCACTTCCAGGTAAAACGGCAATATGGCCACAAAGTCAATAATGTTCAGGACGCTCTTGATGAACTCCAGTTTGTCCGGGCTGAATGTGATGCGCACCAGAAACTCGAAGGTGAACCACAGCACGCAGACTCCCTCCACGTATGTGAGTGCCGGGTCGGTCTCGATCTCGTATTGCTGGCTGATGTCGGTCAGCGTTTCGTTTCGCAGTGGATCCGTCTTGTTGATGATGGTGTTGAAGGCTTCGTGAGTTTCCAGGCAGAAGGTGGTGATGGAGACCATGATGAAAAACAAGGAGGCGAAGGCGATGAACTGCGGAGAAAAGCGAAGAGAGAGATGGAAAATGCTGTTATTTACATTGTAGTGTGGTTTATTCATAAATTAATTTCGAGAGGATCACGTGCTTATAATCAACACGGCTGGCTCCTTATTAGCTCCGTAATTAGCCCTATTAGATGATTGCGTCTAGTTTTTCACTCCAGTTATCTTCGTCTTGAAGCTCCCCCCATTTCCACCCCTTCATCCTCCTCCTTTTTCTGATAGGGCGACACGGTGGCCCAGTGGCTAGCACTGTTGCCTCACAGCAAGAACACCGCCGGTCCAACCTTTCGGGCCGGTCGGTGTTTCTGTGCGGAGTTTGCATGTTCTCCCCGGGTTTCCCCCGGGTTCCCCATTTTCCTCCCACCGTCTAAAAACATAAACCATAGCCAATCGACTAAAACAAATTATCACCCAATACAACCTTAGTTCACACTTCTCACGGTGACAAGCAGGGGAGTTCTCGAGACCAACCTGACCTCGAACTCCCCTCTCGCCCTTCTAACGAGAGGAAGCCCCGGGCTCGAGGATATTACGAGCTCAGGGCTCTCTCCCGGGACAGCATGCCAAATACGCTTTATTGATTATCAGCTAAGTGTGAACTCTTGAAAATAAATGTTGTTGAACATGCAAACTCCACACAGAAATGCCAACTGGCCTAGCCGGGACTCAAACCAGTAACCTTCTTGCGGTGTGGCGACAGTGCTTATTAATTAGCCCCACCTTAATAAATATAAATGATTTAATATATCAACAGAACGACATTTACACACACACACACGCACGCACGCACGCACGCACGCACACACACACACACACACACACACACACACACACACACACACACAAATCAACTATAGACCATGTGTTTGGACTGTGGTGGAGCACCCAGAGAAAACCCACGCCAACACGGGGAGAACATGCAAACTCCACACAGAAATGCCAACTGACCCAGCTGGCACTCGAACCAGCGACCTTCATGCTGTGAGGCCACAGTGCTAACCACTGCGCTATGCTGTGAGTGAACTATGATGTTTAAAACTGTCTTGAAAGTAAAATTTTGCGATATTAATAAATATTTCACAACATTTTTGCCCTCAGCTGCATGTAGATGCACAAGCGTCTCACCTGAGACTCAAACCAGTAACCTTCTTGCGGTGTGGCGACAGTGCTTATTAATTAGCCCCACCTTAATAAATATAAATGATTTAATATATCAACAGAAACAACCGAAATGTGATGGAGTGAACGCGAGACTCATGAACTGATTCACTTGAGTTCCTCTGGACGCTTCAGATGACGCGACAGAAGGGGTGTTTGAGGAGACATATTTCTTTACAGCATGAAGTCAGATTATTGCTGGTGTGTTCAGTCTGGCTGTTGTGATGATAATGTGAAGCTCCGGTATCTCGACGGGTCAGTGATGTGTAATATTTCATATCAATAACAGACTGAGTCAGACATCACAGCAGCTGCACTCAGAGTCTGTCAACATCACTGTAACGTCCAGTGTTATTCAGGAAAACACACGTCAAAGCAGACCCCCGAGAGCTGTCACTCAAACACACACACACACTATTCTCTCACTTTTATTGTAGTGCTTATTAATATTAAGATGCATATCCCATATACCCTCACCATATAAAAAAGGACATACATTTATACATATAAATAAATTATTGATGATTGTTGACATTTTATTTACAACCACATATAATTCTATGCATTATGCTGCTTTAATTTATATTCACAAGTGATTATTAATATTAATATTAAGAAGATGCATATCCCAAATATCTTCACCATATAAAATATGGCACACATTTATACATAAAATATAAATGTTTACATTAAAGGTAGACATTTAATGTGCATTCCCCATATAGTTCTATGCTTTATGCTGTTTTTATTAATTTATATCCACAAGTGATTAATATTATTAATATTAATAAGATGCATATCCCATATAACCTCGCTATATATATATATATATATATATATATATATATATATTGTAATAATAATAATAATTGTTTACATAAAAGGTAGACATTTACTGTAAATATCCCATATAAATATTTGCTTTATGCTGCATTTATTAATTTATATTCATTGATTATTATTATTATTAAGGTCTGTGTGTTAAGTATTAGAATGTGTGTTATGTGTATGTGTCAGCTGTGTCTGTGGTGTGTGAATGTGTGGTGTGTATGCGCATGTGTCAGGTGTGTGCGTGTGTGTAAGTGTTAAGTGTTTAAATGTGTGGTGTGTCTGTGTGTGTATGTATGTGTTAAGTGTGTGTTGTGTGCGTGTCTGTGTGTGTGTGTGTGTGCACGTGTGTCAGGTGTGTGAGAATGTGTGGTGTGTGAATGTGTGGTGTGTATGTGCACGTGTGTCAGGTGTGTGTGTGTGTGTGTGTGTGTGGTGTGTATGTGTATTTGTACTGTGTCAAGTGTGTGAGAATGTGTGGTGTGTGAATGTGTGGTGTGTATGTGCATGTGTGTCAGGTGTGTGTGTGAGAGAGAGTGTGTGTGCGTGGCATCTGTAAGGCGCATGTCAGGTGTGTGTGTGTGCGTATTTGGCACATGCAGGTGTGTGAGGTATATGTCAGTTGTGTGTATGTATGGTGTGTATATGCATGTGTCAGGTGTGTGTGTGTGTGTGTGTGTGTGTGTGTATGTGTATTTGTACTGTGTCAAGTGTGTGAGAATGTATGGTGTGTGAATGTGTGGTGTGTATGTGCACGTGTGTCAGGTGTGTGTGTGTGTGTATGAATGTGTTAAGTGTGTGATTGTGTGTTCTGTGTGTGGTGTGTATGTGTACGTGTGTCAAGTGTGTGAGAATGTGTGGTGTGTGAATGTGTGGTGTGTGAATGTGTGTGCATGTGTGTCAGGTGAGAGTGTGAGTGTGTGTGTGTATGTGTTAAGCGTGTGATTATGTGTTGTGTGTGTGTGTTATGTGCACATGTATCAGGTCTGTGTGAATGAATGGTGTGTATGTGCATGTGTGTCAGGTGTGTGTGTGAGAGAGAGTGTGTGTGCGTGGCATCTGTAAGGCGCTTGTCAAGTGTGTGTGTGTGTGTGTGTGTGTGTGCGTATGTGGCACATGCAGGTGTGTGAGGTATATGTCAGTTGTGTGTATGTATGGTGTGTATATGTATGTGTCAGGTGTGTGTGTGTGTGTGTGTGTCAGGTATGTGAATGTGCACGTGTGTGTGTAGGGTGTGACTGAAGGTCAGCTGTGGACGACTCTCAGGACTCCATATCTTAACACACAGCAGACACCAAACTATCTCCCAGGCAACAGTGTCAGGAAAAACTCCACGGCAACAAGAGCCTCTGTGCCAGACTCCTCTGAGAGTCATTAGCATAATACACACACACACACACACACACACTTGCATGCACACACACACAAACATATTCAATTCATTCACAGTGAGATACTGAACAGACTTCTAGTGTATTTGTGTTGCATTTTACATTAATAATTATTAGAATTGGGCGTCACGGTGGCGTAGTGGGTAGCACAATCGCCTCACAGCAAGAAGGTCGCTGGTTCGAACCTCGACTGGGTTAGTTGGTGGTTCAATGAGGAGTTTGCATGTTCTCCCTGCATTTACGTGGGTTCCTTCCCCACAAATCTAAACAATCACTATAGGGGAATTGGGTAGGCTAAATTAACTGTAGTGTGTGTGTGTGTGTGTGTGTGAATGAGTGTGTGCGGGTGTTTCCCTGTGATGGGTTGCAGCTGGAAGGGCATTCGCTGTGTAAAACATGTTGGATAAGTTGGCGGTTCATTCCACTGTGGCGACTCCGGATTAACAAAGGGACTATGCCGACAAGAAAATGAATGAATGAATGTGATATGGAACTTAGGGTATTTATAATGGATCAGAAATGGTCTGATTGGTAAATCATAAATTAAATTAATGCGGGACCAGCTGCAAGCTATCATAAGCACCTGATCCTCTCGAAATTAGTTTATAAATAAACTTCACTTTACAGTATGGGATGTTCTGCTAAGTCTATACTGCATTTTAAGCATTTTTTACCACATAACCTATATATTCTGAATATTTCCATATTAAAATATGCATAATGAGGTCATTTAACAGCAAACTACAGCATCACATACAACTTCCACATGCAGCACATCAGTAAACAGATGAAATCATTTCATATAAAAATGCATAATAAATTTGACATCTACAGAGCTCAGCATATATAAGTACCCCCCTCGCAAGTCTCTTTTTAAAATCCATATTTTTAATAAGAAGCTCTACCATATTATATTTGTATATACATTAGATTAGTCAGAACTCAAGCCAAATCTGGAGCTTATCTAACAAAATAACTAGCAATAACACTCCAAAAACTAGTACAGCCAAATTTATGTCATAGAAAAATATTAAATACACATTTAAAAGAGGAAAAATCAAGAGAAGTAAAAAAAAATCTGACAAATTTATGTGAAATTTTGTAGGATTTAATTTATTTTTGCAAAATTCTGCTTGAATTTAATTGTATTATCTTTCAATTTCTAAATATGTTTGGTGACTACAATATTTTAATACATTTTAATAAATATTTTAAGAAATATATCTGTTTAATAAATCTGTTTTGTTTAAATGCAGCAAAAAACATTGTCTATATTCACTGAGAAATACTCAATTATGCTGAGCACTGTATATAAAATAGACTGAGCATGTGGAATTATATGTGCATTACAAACAAATGCATTGATTAAAGCACGCCTATAATTCCACATGCTCACTATATTTCTAAAGATATAGTAATTAACATACTTAACATTATGGGATGCTGCATATTTTGTGTTTTTCACCACATAGTCTATACATTCTGAATATTTCCATATTAAAATATGCACAATGATGTAATATAACAGCAAACTACAGCATCAATGCACCACTTCCTCATGCAGCACATCAGTAAACAAGCAGATGAAATGATTTCATATAAAAATGCAGCTAT